AAGAATTCCAGGATTTTAATTTTATTGCATTTTTTCATGAAACTAAAAAGAGAAACTGGTTTCTGATTTGAGCACAAACAAACTGCAGTGCAGAGGAGACGCTGTACATACAGAGCTTTAGCCTAAATGTTGCTAACAGGAAGTAGCTGAAGTTGTAGCGCTGTACAGACAGGAAGCAGACTGCGGGATATTTTTATAGTGAGGATGAGGATTGGATTTTCTACGTGCGGTGCAACGCTCGGCTGTTTCTTCTTCATTCCCTGTTTTTTTAACCATCTTTCTGTGGGATTTTGTACTTTGTGGGCACGATGTGAACATCGAAGGGAACGCAGTGAACATCGAAGGGAACGCAGTGAACATCGAAGGGAACGCAAGGGAACGCAGTGAACATCGAAGGGAACGCAAAGGGAACGCAGTGAACATCGAAGGGAACGCAGTGAAGATCGAAGGGAACGCAGTGATTGTGTTTTGCGCTGTAGACGAGACAAACTGCACTCACCTGCTCTGGTCCATGCTCCACTCCTACAGCTCCTCACTCTGGGTTTAAATATGGAAGACCTCGGGAGGCGTGATGTTGATCCGGCTGTCCGCCTTCCTGTACTCGCACAGTGAATATTCTCCCTTTATTCTGTCTCACTGCAGCAGAATGAGCACAGAACGATGTTTCGGTGATTTAATGTCAACAGATCAAAAAGATGCTGAAATAACGATTTGTAAAAAGTCTGAACTTGTACGTTTCCGGTCGGTCTGCGAGACGACGAGCAAACTACTTTTAAAATGCTAATTATCTGAATGGAGTTTGGTTGATCAGAGCTATGCTAGTAGCTACTTAGCTACTAGTTAAGTAAAACCGACAGCTGGAATCAATAACAACCATAATTTAATTTAATAACTATAAATATATCTTTTTGAAGTCCGCCACCATGAGAGCGTAAACTTCTCTGTGTTGGTTGATCTGAAGGAACGGAGCGATGTGCAGTCGGGTGGTGAGTTTGAGTCCGGAGACAGAATGTAAGTTCAGAGTGAACTGGATCTTTAAGTACTGTACATGCTGACGTAATGTGACCCTGCGCTCTGACTCACAGGCTGATATTAATGTGGAACTTTGATTTAGGAACATGTTTTGTATTATTTGCACTACAAAATAAACTTGAACTGAAATAAAAAAGCCTCCTCTGTTCCTCTTTGTGCATCCTAACGTCTCCTCTCATTCTCTTTATCATTTCTTCCTTCTTCCCTCCTTCCACACTTTATCTGCTGTTTGACATCTGCAGGTTTTATTTGAAGAGGTCAAAGTGTCGACTATTAGTTCTAATTATAGTTTGAGGTTATTTTGTACAGTGTGGAAACCGATGCAGTTCACTTTTATTTGTACGGAGCCAAACCGACATTATCTCAGGACACGTCTGTACTGAACTCCTTATAACATTAAATATATTTCAGTTCTTCTCTGCTGCAGTAAACTGACTGTGTGTGTTGTTCTGAATGTGTGGGAGACTCTGGCTGATAAACACGTGGCAGAGACCTTTGACTCTTTATGTAACAGCAGTGTGCACATGGTTGTGTCTGTAACTCGCTCCCTAAAGAGCACGCTGCTTTAACACGCTGCTGTAACACACTGCTGTAACACACTGCTGTAACACACTGCTGTAACACACTGCTGTAACACACTGCTGTAACACACTGCTGTAACACACTGCAGTAACACACTGCTGTAACACGCTGCTGTAACACACTGCAGTAACACACTGCTGTAACACACTGCTGTAACACACTGCTGTAACACACTGCTGTAACACACTGCTGTAACACACTGCTGTAACACACTGCTGTAACACACTGCAGTAACACACTGCTGTAACACACTGCTGTAACACACTGCTGTAACACACTGCTGTAACACACTGCTGTAACACACTGCTGTAACACACTGCTGTAACACACTGCTGTAACACACTCCCTAAAGAACACACTGCTGTAACACACTGCTGTAACACACTGCTGTAACACACTGCTGTAACACACTGCTGTAACACACTGCTGTAACACACTGCTGTAACACACTCCCTAAAGAACACACTGCTGTAACACACTGCTGTAACACACTGCTGTAACACACTGCTGTAACACACTGCTGTAACACACTGCAGTAACACACTGCTGTAACACACTGCTGTAACACACTCCCTAAAGAACACACTGCTGTAACACACTGCTGTAACACATGCTGAGTAACACACTGCTGTAACACACTGCAGTAACACACTGCTGTAACACACTGCTGTAACACACTGCAGTAACACACTGCTGTAACACACTGCTGTAACACACTCCCTAAAGAACACACTGCTGTAACACCACACACTGCTGTAACACACTGCAACTGCTGTAACACGCTGCTGTAACACACTGCTGTAACACACTGCTGTAACACACTGCTGTAACACACTGCTGTAACACACTGCAGTAACACACTGCTGTAACACACTGCTGTAACACACTGCTGTAACACACTGCTGTAACACACTGCTGTAACACACTGCTGTAACACACTGCTGTAACACACTGCAGTAACACAACACTGCTGTAACACACTGCTGTAACACACTGCTGTTACACACTGCTGTAACACACTGCAGTTACACACTGCAGTGTAACACACTGCTGTAACACACTGCTGTAACACACTGCTGTAACACACTCCCTAAAGAACACACTGCAGTAACACACTGCTGTTACACACTGCTGTTACACACTCTCTAAGCCTCAGTGGGGCCATTCTGCTCCAAGTACAACTGTATAATATTAAACGGTATAATTCTGTACATTAGTATTACACTGTTAATAATTAAAGTGTGTGCACTTTGTTATTAGTATTACACTGTTAATAATTAAAGTGTGTGCACTTTGTTATTAGTATTACACTGTTAATAATTAAAGTGTGTGCACTTTGTTATTAGTATTACACTGTTAATAATTAAAGTGTGTTCTTTTGTTAAATTCATTTTAATATTCTCTGACGCTCTCTGACGCTCTCTGACGTTACAGGAAGTGTTTGAGGACGGTCCTTACGCTGTCTGATGAAATCTCTGACCGACGGAAGCGACAGCGGTTAAACTGACACTTTATAACCGCATTATTACCGCATTATCACCGCATTATCACCGCACTATCACCGCACTATCGCCGCAGGAGACAGACCACCGTCGGAGCTGCACCTTCCAGCTGATAATTGATGTTTTGGATCTTTTGAATCTTTAATAACCGCTCGATAGCTAGCTAGCTGCTAAGCTAACCTATTAGCATCGCCGCCTTCAGATTAAAAGCACGGGAATGGCTCTTCTCTCCTCTTCACAGTTGGATTCTTCCTCGTACCATGATTCCGTTTGTGTCTCTTCGTCCTCCAGCTCCAAGTTGTCCACCAGGAAGAAGCACCAGCGCCGCTCCCAGCAGGCCGACAGCGCCGCGGATCGCGCCCGTGTGTGGGACGGTGTTTCCCGGGTTCCCGCTGGCTGTGGCAGTCGGTGTATGGAGGAATAAATCACATTAAACTACAGACTTACCGCCACTGCTGCTCAGGTTATGTCACACACTTTATTTTTTGCACTTTTAAGTTAAAGAAAATGTTCAGAAGTCTTAGTGTATCCGGCGGGCAGAGCTCGTCCTCTCCGGCCGGGCACGGAGGCTCCTCTCCCGGGCTGGACAGCCAGGAAAGCTCGTGGATCGGCCTGCTCTCCGTGGTGTCGAGGCCTGCGTGGTCGTTTCTGCAGAAATATCTCCCGGGACGACCCCGAAACCCGCTCCTGTGTGACCGCAGCTTAGTGGATGAAGGAAGTGAGTTGTTAAGACAGCTGGAGGATCTGCGGTGTCAGCACGACGCCGCCGCCGGCCTGCTGGAGCCGGAGGCCGGCCTGCTGGAGCCGGAGGCCGGCCTGCTGGAGCCGGAGGCCGGCCTGCTGGAGCCGGAGGCCGGCGGCGCTGTGCCGTGGCTGACCGCCGACTCTCTCCGGGAGGTCGGGATTGAAAGCGCGGAGGAAATCAACCTCTGCCCGCAAACTCACATCGGATATTTCTCTTCTGCCAGGACTTTTCTCAGGACTGTTCAGCTGAGTTCATCTCAGGGAATCAAACCCCCCGGAGGAGGGGAGCACCGGGTGGCGGTGCAGAGCAGCGGGGGCAAGAGCGGGACGTGGTGGGGCAGTTTCTGGGGAGGCGAGGAGAGCTCGCAGAGAGGGCTGCTGTCAGGTCTGCCCCGGGCCGAGGACGGGACCCTGACAGGTCGGCTTTGTCCACAACAACCAGAAACAACCGGCGTGTTTGTCCAGAGCGGGGGGGGATGGATGCTGGGAGAAAACACTGGACCGACCCCCCACAAAGAGGAGCCGGCCAACAATGGAGGTCCTCACACAGTCCAGAATGCGGAGGGGTCCACACCAGACCGCCGGCTCAGCATCAGTGATCACCTGAGCGGATCAGGAGCCGCCGCCTGCAGTGAGGTGGTTCTGACCCCCGACCAGGACAATGGTTACTCCAGCCTGGAGGAGGAACTCGTCCAGATGTGCCAGCTGTACCTGGTGAAAGCCCCCCCCCCGCAGGAGGAGGGCAGCGCAGACATGGAGGAAGAGAGCTGTGAGGAGGGAGGGTCTTCATCAGGACCGGTAGCCGAGGAAGAGGAGGAAGCAGCCGCTCAGGAGGGTGAGTCAGCGGGGGCAACTGCGGGCCCCCCCCCCCAGTGCCAGAACAAAGCCATCGCCTTCATCATGGGCTGCCCCTGCAGCGACGACGACAGCAGCCAGTCAGACGGCGGCGACGACGACGGCTTCGACAGCGAGGGCTCGTCCGATCTGTCGTCCACTGACGAAGACGATGAAGACGATGAAGAATCGGACGGCGAGGTGGACTCGGACACGGAGCGCCTGTGGAGCTCGTTGTGCCGAACCCTTGACCCCTACAACCCCCGAACCTTCACCGCCCGGCTGCACACCGGCAGCACGCCACCCAGGACCATCCCTACCTCCACGCCCCCGTCCTCCAACCAGTCCTCCCCCGCCTCCTCCCCTGACCTCACCCCGCTCCCCCCCTCCTCCCCTCCCCTCTCCTCCCCTCCCTCCGGCTCTGACGTCTGGGACGACTCGGCCTCGGCCAGCGAGGTGGACGAAGCGGAGAGCCTCCGCCTTTGGAGCTCCTTCAGCTGCTCCTCCGACCCCTACAGCCCCTTTAACTTCCAGGCCCCGCTCAGGACTCGAGAGCCCGTGGAGGCGGTGCCCCGGGCCAGAACCAGGACCAAGAAGGCCTCTCAGACCGGCCCTCGCCCCCCCCACCCTACCCCAGCTGCTCCACCCGAGTACAGAAAGGAGGAGGCCGAGGAGAGGCTGGACAGCGGCTTCTCTGAGCCCTGCTCCTCCTCCAGCACCCGGAACTGCAGCGCCAACAAAAAGGTTTGTTTCTGACAGAACCCGGGTCCCAGACCCAGTTCTACTGAGACCACCGGGGGTATTTATTGTTTTAGTTCTATTATTATAGTTTTATTTATATTAAAGCTGCAGTGAGCACTTTCTGCCACTAGGTAGTGTGATGAGATGGTGAAGCAGCGTGGGATCATGGGAGTTGTTGTCTTCACCACCATTGGCGTCATTGCAGTCAGCTTCTCCCGGTTAGGATTCCTTCAGTGTTCATGGTTCAGGAGGTTTCTACCGGGAGCCCAATGATCCACAGAGGTCTCCTCCTCTCCAACACAAACAGACCCGCTGATTAAAACCACTAAACACACTGAATAAAGCAGTTCCACCTTAAACACACTGAATAAAGCAGTTCCACCTTAACAATCACTGCTTCTCCCACGCTGTTGGACAGACAAAGGACGTCCCGGAGGGGCTGCGAGCCGAGCTGCTGCTAATGTTAGTTCAGCTTGTTTCTCTGATAACTTAAGATCCAGACGTCCGATGACTAAAATCCTTCATCCGGTTCAAATCTAGAGTTAAAAAGCACCAAGATCTAAACAGTGGATGGTAAACAGTCAATATGTGACAGCTTCTGATTATTGATTATTGATCAACTCCATATAGACCATATAGAGTTTATACACTGTTTAATGATTATAGATTATTGATATATTGAATACTTCAGTCACCTCATTAACAACCAGAGAAACTGACAGCTGATACTTGTTGATCAATGATTAATGTGAGTTATTGATTATCTTTAGTTAGTTGAGCTCTGATGGGGTTTGAAAGCTCTGGAGTCTCTTTACCAACACAGCATATAATAATCAATCAGTGAGTAATCAATCAGTGAGTAATCAATCAGTGAGTAATCAATCAGTCAGATTGTTAAATATGATACAAACACAGAATTGTATAAAACAGTGAGTTTATTATTATTAGTTTATTAGTGATAGAAGGTTTGTTATTAGTCTAATGAAGACCTTCAGTCCTCCACTGACACCGAGTCCATGATCCAGATCCTGCTGGAGACCCGGTGTCGCCCCCCTGTGGGTGAAAGGGGAACTACAGGATCAGTTACTGACTCACTCTTCTTCTTCTTCAGGTGCGTTTCTGTGACCAGGTGGAGGAGTTCTTCGCCAGCGGTGGCGAGGAGGAGGAGGACCGGCGGGGCCCGTGGGAGGAGCTGGCCCGGGACCGCTGCAGGTTCCTGCGGCGCTGCCAGGAGGTAGAGCAGAGCATCGCATACTGCCTGCAGCCGCAGCACCGCCGCCTGGTGTGCCGCCGCCTGCAGGACGCCTGAGGACCTGGAGACCGCCTGGAGACCGCCTGGAGACCGCCGTCCCTCTGCAACCAGAACTGTAGAGGACAGATCCTCTAACGTCTGCAGAGGACAGTGAATCCAGTGAGGAGACAGAGACTGAGAACTGACTTCACTTTGATCCTGTTTAGTCCACGTCTGTCTGTCTGTCTGTCTGTCTGTCTGTCTGTCTGTCTGTCTGTCTGTCTGTCTGTCTGTCTGTCTGAGTGAGACCCTGATCTGAAGTTCACTGTGAGGATGAACCCGTCTTTATTTCTTAAAGGTCTGTTTGTTGCTGCTGTCTCCGACGTTCAGACCCTCCGAAGATGATTTTAGTATTGATCAGTGACACCTGATGATGATAATAATCAATCAATCAATCAATCAGTCTCTTTCTGTCAGAAACAGTCAAAGTCTTGTTTTTCTTTAATAAATGAAAAAAAAAGAGCTCAGAATTATTTTAACTGCCGGCGAGTGTTCACCTGACTGATTGATTATTGATTATTGATTATTAACAGGGTCTGTGGCGGCAGCAGCCGGGTCACATGTTGCAGTTCAGTATTTGAGTTTGTCTTTGAAGCCAAAGATCGCTGGAGTGTGACAGTGTCTGAATCTGATCGATCAGCATGAATTGATCTGGCTCCCATTATTAATCAATACACTGCAGTGTTCTGATCAGTGTTCTATGAAATGCTCTTAAATTCCCTTTAAGTCCACTAGAAGAAGTCCTGACTTACGTTTTCACACTAAAACCAGTTTTAAAAAGACTTTCTGATCATTTACATGCACACAAAGTGCCAGTGTTCTTTTATTCTGAAAGGGTTCCACTTCCTGGATAATGAATCAATAATCTATAATATTCTCACAGGGACATTTCTTTCATCATGTTTCCAGCAGGAAATTCATGTCCACAGAAAGAGAGAGAATATGGCCACAGAAAGTAATGTTACTTTAAAAAGAGTAATAGATTACTTTAAATAAGTTCAATATGAAACATTTGAACTTTAATATCTGGAATAATTGATTAATTGATCAGTTTTATTGTCACATTCAGAATAACAGGAAGTTGAAGTGCGTGTAATCACAGCCATTGATCCCCGATTAGCTTTAATGTTTATCCAACAGATCAATAAACAGATTATTATTATTATTAATGACTTTAAACAGGAAACGATGTTAAACAATCACTTTTATTTAAAGATTAACAGATAATCAATAATCGTCTGTATTAAAAATCAATGGGTATTTCTGAGTTTGTGAATATTGATTACATGAACAGAAGTTTGTTCACACACACACACACACACACACCGCTGACTGTGGGTCAGCTGATCAGTCATCAATAATCAATAACAGTGAGAAGGGAATAGCAAAACAGAAGAAATGTTAATTGTTTATTTTTCTAATGTTTGTTTGGAAACTCGCTCTGCTTCATCTCCTCACTAATAAATATGATTGAATATTAAATCAATATTTATTGATCACTCTGACTCTCTCTGTGTGAACCTTGAATCTTTCTCCAGGACCTTGAATCTTTCTCCAGGACCTTGCATCTTTCTCCAGGACCTTGAATCTTTCTCCAGGTCTTTGAGTCTTTCTCCAGGTCTTTGAATCTTTCTCCAGGACCTTGAATCTTTCTCCAGGACCTTGAATCTTTCTCCAGGTCTTTGAATCTTTCTCCAGGACCTTGAATCTTTCTCCAGGAACTTGAATCTTTCTCCAGGACCTTGCATCTTTCTCCAGGTCTTTGAATCTTTCTCCAGGACCTTGAATCTTTCTCCAGGACCTTGAATCTTTCTCCAGGTCTTTGAATCTTTCTCCAGGACCTTGAATCTTTCTCCAGGTCTTTGAATCTTTCTCCAGGACCTTGAATCTTTCTCCAGGAACTTGAATCTTTCTCCAGGTCTTTGAATCTTTCTCCAGGACCTTGAATCTTTCTCCAGGAACTTGAATCTTTCTCCAGGACCTTGAATCTTTCTCCAGGTCTTTGAATCTTTCTCCAGGACCTTGAATCTTTCTCCAGGACCTTGAATCTTTCTCCAGGTCTTTGAATCTTTCTCCAGGACCTTGAATCTTTCTCCAGGTCTTTGAATCTTTCTCCAGGACCTTGAATCTTTCTCCAGGACCTTGAATCTTTCTCCAGGACCTTGAATCTTTCTCCAGGTCTGAATCCAGTTGATAACATTAGAGAGTGAGATGGGGACGCTGAGTCACTGCTGCTATTAGCTATTAGCCACGTTAGCAGCAACAGCTGATTGATTGTAAAAACTTTATTGATCCTCTGACTTCATGTAGTGCCACCTTCAGGTCAGCATTGCATGTGTCCAGTATACCTGCAGAACTACAGACAGAACTACAGACAGAACTACAAACACTCCCATCAGCCTCAGCGGTGTTTACGGCTAATGCGCTAACGCTAGCATGTTAGCATTTATCTCTCCAGAGCAGGAACCCGTCGAGGTTCTGCAGAACCAATCAGTTAGGCTCCGCCCACAGAACCTGTCAGTGAGTTCTGCTCAGACAGGAAGTAGACGGTGGACGTCCCTCACTGTCCTCCACAGTCCGGTCCAGGAGACGAGGCGCTGCCGTCCTCCGGCTCCACCAGGCCCTGCAGGTATTTGATGTACCTGATGGCGGCCCGCAGCGTCTCTACCTTGCTCAGCCTCTTGTCGGCGCTGTGACCCGGCAGGTGGTCCCTCAGTTTGGCGTAACCCTGGTTCACACAGCGGACCCGCTGACGCTCCCGCTCGTTACGCTTCTGGATGAAGGCCGGCTCGAAGGGACACTCGTACACACTGAAGTGTCCGTGGTGGTGGAAGGGGGCCAGGTAGGGCAGGAGCCCGGGGCCCCTCAGAGGGCCCTTGTAGGGGTCCATGGTGGAGGAGGGGGGGTAGAGGAGGAGGGGGACGCCACGGTCGTCACGGCGAGCGGTGGGCGGAGACACGCTGAAGCTCAAGTAAGACGATGGAGAGAAGGTGGAGCTCATACCTGCTGAGGACGAACACACCTGGAAACACCTGGAGACGCCTCAGTGGAGCTTCATCCTGCTCACCTGGACAGGTAATTACACACATTATTAAACTATCAATAGTATCAGGATCAATACTATCAATGTCAATGGTATCAATATCAATACTATCAATATCAATACTATCAATATCAATAGTATCAATATCAATACTATCAATATCAATGGTATCAATATCAATTGTATCAATACTATCACTATCAATGGTATCAATATCAATATTATCAGTTTCAATATCAATAGTATCAGTATATTTATATTAAAGTATATTTATATTAAAATATATTTATATTAAAATATATTTATATTAAAGCATATTTATATTAAAATATATTTATATTGCAGTATATTAAAATATATTTATATTAAAATATATTTATATTAAAGCATATTTATATTAAAATATATTTATATTAAAGTATATTTATATTGCAGTATATTAAAATATATTTATATTAAAATATATTTATATTAAAGTATATTAAAATATATTTATATTAAGGTATATTTATATTAAAGTATATTAAAATATATTTATATTAAAGTATATTTATTTTAAGGTATATTTATATTCAAGTATATTAAAATATATTTATATTAAAACATTAATATTAAAATATATTTATATTAAAGTATATTAAAATATATTTATATTAAAGTATATTTATATTGCAGTATATTAAAATATATTTATATTAAAGTATATTTATATTAAGGTATATTTATATTAAAGTATATTAAAATATATTTATATTAAGGTACATTTATATTAAATCATATTTATATTAAAGCATATTTATAATAAAATATATTTATATTAAAGTGTATTAAAATATATTTATATTAAGGTATATTTATATTAAAGTATATTTATATTAAAGTATATTAAAATATATTTATATTAAAGCATATTTATATTAAAGTATATTTATATTAAAGTATAGTTATATTAAAGTATATTTATATTAAAGTATATTAAAGTATGTTTATATTAAAGTATAGTTATATTAAGGTATATTTATATTAAAGTATATTAAAATATATTTATATTAAAGCATATTTATATTAAAATATATTTATATTAAAGTATATTAAAATATATTTATATTAAAGTATATTTATATTGCAGTATATTAAAATATATTTATATTAAAATATATTTATATTAAAGTATATTAAAATATATTTATATTAAGGTATATTTATATTAAAGTATATTAAAATATATTTATATTAAAGTATATTTATATTAAGGTATATTTATATTCAAGTATATTAAAATATATTTATATTAAGGTGTATTTATATTAAATCATATTTATATTAAGGTATATTTATATTAAGGTATATTTATATTCAAGTATATTAAAATATATTTATATTAAGGTATATTTATATTAAATCATATTTATATTAAGGTATATTTATATTAAAGTATATTTATATTAAAGTATATTAAAGTATGTTTATATTAAAGCATATTTATATTAAAGTATATTTATATTAAAGTATATTAAAGTATATTTATATTAAAGTATATTAAAGTATGTTTATATTAAAGTATAGTTATATTAAAGTATATTAAAGTATATTTATATTAAAGTATGTTTATATTAAAGTATGTTTATATTAAAGTATATTAAAGTATAGTTATATTAAAGTATATTTATATTAAAGTATATTAAAGTATATTAAAATATATTTATATTAAGGTATATGTATATTAAATCATATTTATATTAAAGCATATTTATAATAAAATATATTTATATTAAAGTATATTAAAATATATTTATATTAAGGTATATTTATATTAAAGTATATTTATATTAAAGTATATTAAAGTATGTTTATATTAAAGCATATTTATATTAAAGTATATTTATATTAAAGTATATTAAAGTATATTAAAGTATATTTATATTAAAGTATATTAAAGCATATTTATATTAAAGTATATTAAAGTATATTTATATTAAAGTATATTAAAGTATGTTTATATTAAAGTATATTTATATTAAAGTATATTAAAGTATATTTATATTAAAGTATGTTTATATTAAAGTATATTTATATTAAAGTATATTAAAGTATATTTATATTAAAGTATGTTTATATTAAAGTATGTTTATATTAAAGTATATTAAAGTATGTTTATATTAAAGTATGTTTATATTAAAGTATGTTTATATTAAAGTATATTAAAGTATGTTTATATTAAAGTATGTTTATATTAAAGTATGTTTATATCAAGGTATATAAGCCGCTACGTTTTCCACACGCTTTGAACCCTGCGACTTAAACAATGATATGGCTAATCTATAGATTTTTACGTGCTAACGTCCTCTAGGGGGCGCTCTAGCAGGAAGCGCAAGAGCGAGACAGACAGGTGGAGGAGATGCGCCGAGGAAGACGCTAGTTTGATTGTGTTTTGAATTCATTCAATTCATTCAGTTATTTTGCGCATCATGCACACACCCTCATCATGGAAACACAAGAAGAAATGCACATGATGCAGCTTTTAAGTTAAAGGCAGTCGATCTGGCTGTCGAAGAAGAGCTGCTGCACGTAAGCTCGGCATCAGTGAATCAATGGTGAGACGTTGGAGACGGCAGCATTTATTTAATCAAAAATTTTAAAAAACGTTCTGTGTAAATATCTCATGTTACAAAGTTGACACCTGCGGTTTATAGACAAGTGCGGCCTATATATGTACAATTTTTTTTTCTTTTTAAATTAAGTTGGTGCGGCTTATATTCAGGTGAGTTCTATAGTCCGGAAATTACGGTATATTTGTATTAAAATATATTTATATTAAAATATATTAAAGTATATTTATATTAAAATGTATTTATATTAAAGTATATTAAGGTATATTTATATTAAAATGTATTTATATTAAAGTATATTAAGGTATATTTATATTAAAATATACTCAAATATATTTATATTAAAGTATATTAAAATATATCTATTAAAGTATATTAAAGTATGTTTATATTAAAGTATATTAAAATATATCTATTAAAGTATATTAAAGTATGTTTATATTAAAGTATATTGAAGTATATTTATATTAAAATATATTTATATTAAAGTATATTGAAGTATATTTATTTTAAAATATAAATTATTATAAAAACAGAAATAATCAGAACAGCAATTACACTTTAAAATAACAATAACAGTAATTCAGTAACTATATTTATAATAATATATAATTATAAATATCATTAAAATACAGTTTTCTACATAAAATCTTTTTAAAGATTTATACTGTAAAACGATGAGCTATAAATACAGGTGAAGTCTGCTATAATACAACACTTATTTATATTTATAATCTTATTTTAATGTGAATGTTGAAAGTTATAGAACTTTAATAAAAATCTGTGAAATTACAGTAATTATTGTTGTTTACACTGATAAAAACTGTATTTGGACAGTTCACCAATGCTTATACACTGATAAACAACATATATACAACATTTTTATTTTAATACTATTAACAGTTTTAAACTAGAATTTAAATTTAAATTAGAAGTTTAATCTGTTAAATAAACAATAAATATTAGTGATAAATGTATTTTAATATTTTTATGTGAATGTCAGTAATTTTATGATTATTTACAGTTACAGATTTTTCACATTATTTTGAATTTAGATGTAAATTCACAGGATATTTTATAATTATTAATTATTATAATTAATACATATTTAAAAAATACAGAAAAAATCTGCACAATAAACGTGAAACCTTTTTTTACAGTAGATGAATAAGGATAAATCACAGTGTGTTTATATGTACATACTAGTGCTGTCAAACGATTAAAATATTTAATCGCGATTAATCGCATTAAAGTCATAGTTGACTCGCAATTAATCGCACATTTTTATCTATTCTAAATGTCCCTTGATTTCTTTTTGTCCCATTATTTTTTCTCATTTTAATGCTCTTATCAACATGGAAAAGTGGATCGGCTTGCTTTGTGCAAATGTTGTTTTTATTGAAAACAACATTGGCATATACTGTAGTGTTCAATTTCACACTAACATTCTCACTTGGAGCAAATAATCTCTCACACAATGTGACACTGTCCATCAATAAAAGGGTGAAACAAATGCTTTGTCACACAAACAGCCCCTTCAACAGCCCTTTCTAAGGGATCAAAACAGGGCGATACAAAATAAAATTGGAACCATTTGGCAACTTTTTAAAAGTAAACTTTCAGAATATTATTGGCATCCATTTCGGCATCTCGCGCTCGCCATCCACTCAAACGTAACGTCTACAACTCTTAAACAAGTGTGTGCGGCGTGCCTGTTGTTTTGTTTCCGGTCTAGCTAGATTCGGTGTGGTGTTGTAGTTTTTCTAACGTTACTAGTTGTTGCAACAGCATGTGGAAAAAACTACAAAGTGTGCTAGGCGTTAATCTTGCGATAAAAAAATTGACGTCGTTAAAATGGGTTTGTGTTAACGCTGTTATTAACGCGTTTAACTGACAGCACTACTACATATATATATGTATGAGATATAAATTAAATATAAATTAGATATATGAGATATATATGTGAGATATAAATGAGATATATATGTATAAATCACAGTGTGTTTATATGTATATATATATATATATATATATATATATATTATGAGATATATGTGTAAGGAGATGCTGAGCTGTGTTTGTCTCACCTTCAGATGCTGCTGCTGTCTCCTCCCGACTGCGGCTGCAGGATCAAACGCTGAAGCTTTACCTGCCTTTACATGCTGAAGCTCCGCCCTCCAGGTGTGTGATGGGACATCAGGTAACGACAGAGAAACACTGAGCCTCACGAACAGAAACCATCATTTGGAGTTTCTGAAACGATGGAACATAAGAACATAAAAGTGACGGACTGAAGGCAGCGGGAGCTTCCTGTTGGCGTCTCAGGTGAATATGGGCAGGTAAATCTGC